TCCGTGGCATGCTGTGTCCTCTTCCAGGAGTGAGTAGTTTCCAAGTGAATTGGGTAGAACTTGATGACAGCTTCTGCAGGTCTCGTCCTTGATTTCAGAGCAGGAAAACAGAGGTGCAGCGTGTGAGTCACACCTGATCCGTGACCTGGGGTTTGGTGGTGTGTCCACCAGCGCTGGTTTGCAGAAGTGAGCCATGTTTCAGTTACCGCAGTACACGGGAAGAAGTAGTTGTGAAACGGCCAACTCGCTGGCGGCAGGAGGCCCGTTACCTGCCATCGCCAGGCCCGGTGCCATTCCATCCGACACCCCAGCACCAACCAGATGTGGCCACGGGGTGGTTCCTGAGTCAGCTGACAGCTAGGCTATCTCCAGTGAAAGGAGTATCTTAATTTCCCCCGAAGAAAATACTCTTGGAAGTGAAGTGAACCACTACCGAGGGACGTGCTTGCACAGGTTACAGACGGGGCCTGGTGTGCCGCCCTCAGGCCAGCGTGGTGCACCTGTGCGGCTGGGTTTGAGGCGGATACTTGACTCCTTCTCTCTCCTTAGTTCGAATATCCCACATGAACCCCTTTTCCTGTCATAGAATGAGTAACAGAAAGGACATTCATGGGGAGAGATTGAGGGAAAGGTGTTTTACATGATAGGTCTTCACTCATTGCCTTCTGCTGAGTCACGATGACTCGGGAAACCTGAGAAGGGAAGGTGGGTCATTGAGAGGAAATGGTCCAGCAGAGCACGGCGCTGACCTGCTGCCCACTCGCTCCCGGACCTCTGGCACCAGCGCAGATGCCGAAGGTTTGCGGCGCTGGCGCTGGACTTGAAATGGGACCGTTTGTGAGGTTCCTGATGCTGAGCATCTGTGAGGCGGCAGCATCCCCCAGAGAGGCCTCCAGGACTCCAGCCGTCAGGGCAGGCAGGGCTCTGGCCAGGGCCCCCCACCACCACCCTGCGCCCCGCAGTGGGGACTTGGGCCCTGCTTCAACACTGCCAATTTGGAGCATTGATATCTTCACAGGCTTTTCGTATTTCGTATTTTAAACCAATTCAGAGTTGTAACATGATTACCTGGAAAGCTAACATTTATGGAAGTTTGATTCTTCTAAATTTATGATTTGTGAATTTTCTTCTTTCTCTCTCTCTCTCTCTGTCTCTGTCTCTCTGTCTCTTTTTCTGTTTTGTTTTGTTAATCTTCACGTGAGGCTGCGTTTCCACTGCTTTTTAGATAGAGTGGAGGGAGGGAGAGAGAGGAACATCGATGTGAGAGGGACACATGAGTTAGGTGCTTCCCGCATGACCCCCACCAGTGCCAGGGTTGAACCTGCAACCCAGGTACGTGCCCTTGACCAGGAATCAGACTTGAGACCCTTTGGCTGCGGGCTGGTGCTCACACTGAACCGCTGAGCCAAACCGGCCAGGGCTGATTGCTGACTTTTCTTCCCTTTACATCCTGTGGTTTTACTGGGATTACCTTCTGCCCGTAATGGTGTCTGTTTCTCACACCGCAGAGCAGGGCAGCTCGTGACGGTAGAAGACCCTCTGCTCTTGCAGTTGTCCTTGTAGGTCAGCACACCCCGATCCCACGTGTTCTCGGGGTTTCAAGGAACCCCACTTCTGGATTCTTCTTTCTGACATTGACTTGCCTGATAGTGTGTTTGTGTCCATCATAGTAGTTCTTCCCCTTCACAGAGGTAGGACTCTGGAGTCTCCCTGGGGTGGACCGCTCCCCAGGTGGGGTGACCGCTTCCCGGGTGGACTGCTCCCCAGTGGACTGCTCCAGGGTGGGGGGACTGCTCCAGGGTGGGGGGCTGCTCCAGGGTGGGGGGACTGCTCCCCGGGTGGGCGACTGCTCCCCAGGAGGACTGCTCCAGTGCACCGACCTGAGAGGACTCGTCCAGGGTCCTCACATCCGTACGCGTCAGGTCTTGCCTGGCGTCCTGAAAAGGTTGAAGCGTGGCTTCGGGAGCTGTGGGGGATGTCCTGTGCTCAGACATGCGATGGGCTTGGAGTTGTGGGGAGTGGGCACAGCTTTCCGTTCAGACTTCGCCTTTTCCTTCCCTGATTTCAAAGAACATTCTTTTAAAGAGAAGGTTCGGGAAAGCACAGAGCAGTGGTGAGGAGTTGTGAGCACGAGTGTGTGTTAAGGGCCCAAACAGGGCAGGGTTTTGCCTCTCGGGGCCGCGGGGCTGGCAGCAGGTCGGCCAGGCATCGGGTCCGTGGCCGGGCCTCTCACCTCCTGTGACGTGTTGTCCCCTTGAGTCATATCTTAAAGGACCTACTCAAGCTACAGCCAATCCTAATGTCTTGTACATTCTGATGACAAAAGCAGTGTGTATGCTAACCGCCAGACCTCATCTGCTTTAAGATAGATACATGCCTTTCTTTGATTAAATACAGAGTAAAAGTTGATCAGTACTTTTTTTCCTGGTGAGCTTTGTTTTAATGGGTCTCAAAATTCTTTTTTTTTTTTTTCTCCTCACCCGAGGACATTTTTTGCATTTGTCTTGAGATAGAGCGGAAGGGAGAGAGGGAGAAACATTGATGTGAGAGAGACACATTGACTGGTCGCCACCCACACAACCCCAACCTGGGCCAGGGACAAACTGCAACCAAGGTAAATGCCCTTAGCGGGAACCGAACCCGGGACTCTCCGGTCTGTGGGCCAATGCTCTAACCGCTGAGCTATACCGGCCAGGGCTGGGTCTCGAAATTCTGTGGCAGATTTTTGGTCAAGTTGTTTCCATTACAAAGTACTATTTTAAAAACTAGTAACTTAAAACTGCCACACCCTGAGAAAAAAAACAAATGGTCCACTTTCTCTGTTCCTGCTGAAGGCCTTACGGTGCATTGTAGTCACCAACCCGTCTTGTTACTAGACTAGGTGGCCGGTGGGGACCCAGGTTCTAGACCGTCCTTCCAGCACTAAGACTGGGGGGCAGGGAAGAGTTTGCTTTTTAACTAAAGTAATAGGGTTATTTCTGAGTTTTTATATTGATTTCTAAATGACTAACGTTTAAACATCAGATTTCTTTCTATGTACATACTATATATTTTTTAAAGGAACATGTCACTTCATTAACAACTTCTACTTTGGGTTACACGTTACAATATATCACATTATGACAGAGTAATAGCTTGTTGATTTATTATCTTCTATTTATAACTTTTAATTATAGATCCACTAAATGTGTTCGAGTTTACTCATTTGAATTTTACAATGAAATTAGACTGTTTCTGGCTCACGTCAATCGCTTTGGCTTGTTTGCCCACCGTTGAGGATAGTGTCAATAAATCGGATGATAAATCTGCAGATAGTCGGGAAATTGAGGTGACAACTGATACGTTTTTAAAAGTGGATTTTGTTAAAGAGCATGTGATTTTTAACATATAACTTGTAAGGAGCTCAAAGAGTCCAAAGGAAGACATATAATTCCCACAACTTTTTTTTTTTAATCCTTGCCTGAGGATATTTTTCCATTGATTTTTAGAGAGATTGGAAGGAAGGAGGGAGAGAGAGAAACATCCATATGAGAGAGCCACATCGATTTGTTGCCTCTTGCACAACCCATCCAGAGCCAGGGATGAACCGGCAACCCAGGTACATACCCTTGACTGGGAACCGAACCCAAGACCCTTCAGTGCATGGGCCGACGCTCTAAGTGCTGAGTCAAACTGGTCAGGGCTAATTCCCAAAACATTTTTATGTAAAAAGAACACCGAAATAGAAGGTTAATCTAGAATTAATGGACCTTCTAGTGGTCAGTCATATTCATCCACAGATGCTTGAAATACTAATGAGGAGGAGAAGGAGCCCAGCTCCTTTCATTAGGACACGCTTTTTAAGGAAATAAGTAGTTAAAAGTAAACTTAACATGTGTAACTGATGTTTTGCTAATCATCATTATAGTGATGACTTAATCCAGAAGAATGTTAACTCTGGAGCCTGTGAACTCAGAAAGGAACACATTTTAGTTGCAGGAGGTGTAGTGGGGTGATGGGCTAGAGACGTTAGCGTAAGAAATACACGAGAATGAAACTTGGGAGAAATTACATGGAAACAATTCAAGGAGAGAAATAAGGTTGTACAGTTTTAAAAGGTTTTGATCCCATTTTAAAATGTTCAAATTTAAAATGTGCTATTATATTTACCCTAGTAAATATTCAAGCCTAGAGCAAAATATTTGTTTTAAATATGTTTTATATTGATTTTTCAAGGAGAGAGAGAGAGAAACTTCAGTGTGAGACAGAAACATCAATGGACTGCCTCCTGTACGCCCCCCAAGCCCGAAACCCGGGCCTGTGCCCTGACTGGGAATCAAACCTGGACCTCTCAGTCCATGGGACGTCACTTAATCCACTGAGCCACACCAGCCAGGCCTAGAGTAAACTATTTCAGATACCAACCTGAAGCACGTGGGAAGGGGCTGTATGTGTGCCATGTTTTCTTGGGAATGGGGCCCGTGGCTGTACTCAGATTCGTAAAGAGCATGAGCCCAGAACAGGTAGGTAGAGGCCAGTCACCGTGTTCTGAGGGGACAGTTTAGTTCTGGTCTCAGCCTGTTCGTCGTGCCTTTCCTGTGCCCACATGGAGATGTATAGAAGGTACAAAAATATGTCTGCTTTTAAAAATCTCTTGAGAGCCCTGGCTGGTTTAGCTCAGTAGTTAGAGCATTGATCCACGGACCAAGCCGGTCACGGGTTCGATTCCAGTCAAGGGCACGTGCCTTGGTTGCGGTTTGGTCCCAGCCCTGGTTGGGGTTGAGCGGGAGGCAGCCAGTCAATGTGTCTCTCTCACATCAGTCTCCCTCTCTCCCCCCGACTCTGTCTGAAGATAAATGGAAGCATATCCTCAGGTAAGGATTGAAAAAAATCTCGATAGAATTATGAATTCTTAGGGCTGAGCTCTTAGTTCAGAAACATCTCTCCTGTTGTCTTCATGGAACAATAACATTTATTCTTTGACTGTGTCAGACTCACATATGACGCACTTTCTGTTTCAGTTTGAAGGAAGGAAGTACTGTGAGCACGATTTCCAGATGCTCTTTGCTCCTTGCTGCCACCAGTGCGGTAAGTCCACGGCGGAGCACAGCACAGTGGGCTCCAGCGTCGCCTACGCTAGTTACCGTCACTCAGGGTCCGGCCGGCGGGGCTCAGTGGCTGAGCGTCGGCCCTGCACCAAGAGGTCACCGGCTCGATCCTGGGCAGGGCACATGCCCAGGCTGTGGGCCTGATCCCCAGTGGGGGGCGTGCAGGAGGTGGCCAGTTGATGTTCTCTCTCATCCATGTTTCTGTCTCTCTCTCCCTCTCCCTTTCTATCTCTAAAACTAATAAAGAAAAAAAATTTTTTTTATCCTCACCCGAGGACATTTTTTCGTTTTTTGTTCAGAGAGTGGGAGGAAATGAGAGAGAGAGAAACATCGATGTGAAAGGGACACATCAAGTGGTTGCTCCCTGCGTGACCCAACCAGGGCTGAGGACAAACTGTAACCGAGGCACATGCCCTTAGTGGGAACCGAACCCGGGTCTCTCTGGACTGCAGGCCGACGCTCCAACTGCTGAGCCAAACCAGCCAGGGCGAAAAAAAATTTTTTTAAGTGTCAATGTAAAAGTGGGTTTTCGTGCTCATTGTAAATAGCATTTAGGTACTTTACCAGTCCTCTTGCCTATTATTAATATATAACAAGCTGGAAGAGTATCAAACCGAGAAGTGATTTTTAAGGACATCTAGTATAAAGTTATTTTGGGACTAACTAGGACTTCTGTTAGATGATTTTTTATTATTATTTTTTTTAATCCTCACCCAAAGATATTTTTTTCATTGATTTTTAGATAGAAAGGGAGGGAGGAAGTGAGAGAGAGAGAATCGTTGATGCGACAGACACATTTGTTGGTTGCCTCTAGCACAACCCTGGCTGGTGCTGGGGGTCACACCTGCAACCCAGGTACGTGCCCTTGACCGGGAATTGAACCTGTGATTCTTCCATCCAAAGACCGACACTCGAACCACTGAGCCAAAGCGGTCAGGACTAGGTGACTTTTTTGGAATATTCATTTCCCGTTAGTGCGGACTTGACCTGCTTGATTTGGGGTTTGCCAGAGGGAGACAGAGATGTCACTGAGGCATGGCGACACTTGGAGATTGCCTGTCACCCGGGGGTGGGCTTGCTGGCCCCTCGCTGGCTGGGGACAGTGCCCCAGACGCCTTCAGAGGTTGGAGAAACAGCAGAATGTTGTCACGGTTGGATGAAAGAAGAAATGAAGCTTGGGCTACGAGAAAATGTACTGTGGATGTCAGCTCTCTGTGTCGGTGGTGACATTTCACAGAGCCCGTCACTGGGAAGGGAAAGAGGGATCTAGAGATGGGATGAGACAACCTGAAATAGCATTTTCTGATACAGTGCTTACTGTGGGAGACACGTGTGCAGCAAGTCCCTCTCTGTGGAGAAAGGTTTACATGTGTCTGTGTCCTGTGATTTCCCCTTGCGCTCTGAGCCGTGAAATGCCACGCTGGGGCCTGTGTTCCTTTTGCACAGGTGAATTCATCATCGGCCGAGTCATCAAAGCCATGAATAACAGCTGGCACCCCGAATGCTTCCGCTGTGACCTGTGCCAGGAAGTGCTGGCCGACATCGGCTTTGTCAAGAATGCCGGCAGGTGGGTGGAGGAAGTGACGGCTCTGTGGGGTGCATGTTCTGGCTCTGTGGGGTGCATGTTCTCGCGGGGTGTAGGTGGTGCTTTGCGAGCCCAGTGCCAGGGATAGGGGTACAGACTGCCTGTCGGGACGGCCTGGGTTCCGGGTAGCGGCGCTCAGCTCCACATGTGTTCTGGGCTGGTGACCCTAAAACGGAGTTTCTAAAAGACCAGTCAGATGATCTGAATTGGAATAAATCATGTTTATGTAAAAACTCGTGGCTTGATTCTGCTCAGTTCAATCAGCAGTGAATTCTAAAGCAGTGGGTTCGTGACTTGAGGGAGATGGGAAGCCTGTTTCCTCCTGATTACTAGGAAGCACCTTCGATTTCGAGTTTCCATGCCTGAGTTCCGGCTCTGTCTAGGCACCTGTGCCGCCCCTGCCACAACCGCGAGAAAGCCCGGGGCCTGGGGAAGTACGTCTGCCAGAAGTGCCACGCCATCATCGACGAGCAGCCCCTGATCTTCAAGAACGACCCGTACCACCCGGACCACTTCAGCTGTGCCAACTGCGGGTACGAGAGCTCTGTCCCCGAGCAAACTGGAGGGCAGGAGAGGTCCCACTCACCTGTCCCTGTTACTCCGCAGCCCACCTTGTTTCCGCCAGTGTTCAGTCTGGAAAATGTGCAACCTGCAGAACAGTCAAGAGGACGGTTTAAAGAGCCCTCCATGCCCTCCATGGAGTGTAATCAGTTAGCATTTCGCCCGTTTGACTGCAGCCCGTGTGCGCGTGTGTGGGTGTGCACGTGTACATGCCTTCATGTGATCAGACCTTTTTTTTTTTTTTTTTATCCTCACGAGGATATTTTTCCATTTTTTGTACAGATAGAGTGGGAGGGAGAGAGAGGAAGGGAGAGAGAGTGAGAAACATCGACGTGAAGGGACACATCGAGTGGCTGCCACCCGCACGACCAACCAAGGCCGGGGACAAACTGCAACCGAGGTACATGCCCTTAGCGGGAACCGAACCCGGGTCTCTCCGGACCGCAGGCCGACGCTCTAACCGCTGAGCCAAACTGGCCAGGGCTGTGATCAGACCATATTAAAATATCCAAATCATGCCCAAAACTGTTTTCCAATACAGGATTTTTTTAAAGCTGTAGAAATTATTATTTTTGTACATCTATAACTTTTACAGTTGTAATAATTAGGGTGTTAACTTGAAATATTTTAAATTCTACCTAAGGGAACAAAAACTCATGATAAATTGTTAGGCTATGATTTTCTGAATTTGTTGTCTAGTATAAAAATTTAAAGGAAAAAGCCCGGTCGGTGTGGCTCAGTGGTTGAGCGTCGACCCATGCACCAAGAGGTCGCCAGTTCGATTTCCGGGCAGGGCACATGCCCAGATTGTGGGCCCGATCCCCAGTGGGGGGCATGCAGGAGGCAGCCAGTCGATGTTCTCTCATCAATGTTTCTATCTCTCTCCCTCTTCCTTCTTCTCTCTCTAAAATTAATAAAGAAAAAAATGTAAAGGAAAGAGATACTTTGCATAGTGAATATGAACTCACATGCTGTGTTCCAGTCGGGGCAGACAGGACAGGCTGAGGGTCAGGAAAACAGCTTTGTGGTGCTGAAAACAGCCACCTCGTTTTTTCTGGGGTCAGTTTGTGACTTTTCTTGCCTATCCTCTCTCTGGTGGAATAGTTCTCATTTTTTGTTAGCACTTTTAAAGAAGTATTTAAACAGATGAAGTTCAAACAAGTCCATTTGGCTAATTGGGGCTATCGCTGGCATGTTTATTGACATAGGAGATTGCAAATAACGGTATACTTGGCATTTGGAAACAGAAATTCTGGTCATTTCCTTTGTTTATTTCTTACTAACCTATAGCTATTCTTAAAAGCTTGGGACAATTTAATTATTAAATGGACCACTCTTCAAAGTCCTCGGTTACTTTGGAAAGATGTCACTGAGTCTCCTCAGTATCATTATTCTCTAGCTTTTTAGGGAGACACATGGATGACAGACAAGGAAATGACAGATGGCAGTGTGATTGTGTGACTGCCGGTACATTTTGTCATTATTGCTGACACTGATGTTTCGTTGGGAACTGGAAACCTGTTCAAACCTCTTGGTTCAGGTTCCTGTGATCACCAGGAGGGAGAATAAGTCACAGGGATTATTATATCAAAAAACTCCATAAAGGGTTAGCCACGTTGTTGCCTGGCTTTTCCTCTCCTGATAGTGTCATTGTCTTTGTCCTGACAGGAAGGAGCTGACTGCGGATGCCCGGGAGCTGAAGGGGGAGCTGTACTGCCTGCCGTGCCATGACAAGATGGGGGTCCCCATCTGCGGGGCCTGCCGCCGGCCCATCGAGGGGCGTGTGGTGAACGCCATGGGCAAGCAGTGGCACGTGGAGGTGGGCTCGGTGGCCGGGGGCAGCAGACTCCTCGTTTCCCCGCTGGGTGTGTTAGCAAAATGAGCAGATTTCGAAGATTAAACAGGAACCTTTCAGAGACCACTGACTTTGCAGAAGATCAGGAGTGTAGACTATTCACTGCGTTTGCGAGCTCTTGGGAACGATAGAGGATGTGTTCTTTGTTCTTAAATCTTCTCGGGGCGTGAAGTGTTGCGGTCCACCCCGGCCGCAGGCGCCGCTCCATGCGCACCTGTCTTCTCCGTGTGCTGGGTCTGGCGCCTGTGAGATTCCGAGTCAGGACCGCAGTGCGGCAGGAGGGCGGCGGCCCAGGGAAGCCGCGGCCCCAGGCTCGCATGAGTCTTCTCTGAGGAGGGTTTAACTTGGACTTTGACTTCACTTAATAAGTAAAATAGGACGGTTCAAAAATAACCTCTAGCAATTTTTTTTCAGCATTTCGTGTGTGCCAAGTGTGAAAAGCCATTCCTTGGACATCGCCATTACGAAAGGAAGGGGCTGGCCTACTGTGAAACCCACTATAACCAGGTATGGCCTGTGGTCATTGGCTACGGGATGTACTTCGTGAACTGACGCTCATCAGTAATCTAGTTACGAGGAAATCCCTCGGGAAACGTTTGCCACCCAGTGCCAGACCCAGCCTGGCTGTCCTGTGCGTTTAGCTCCCTGAAATCTGGGACATCTCCAGAGCAGTCTTTTCGTTTTTTGATAGTGATGAAAAGAAAATTAATTTCATCATAACAAGTAAAAATTAATCAGTGAACCGCTACTCATTTTCTGTGGTAATGGTAAAATCCGGATTTAGGTAGCCAGCTATTTGGTTTGTTTTCTGTTGTTTCGTTTTATCTGTACTGTTGGAAGTATTACAGACGTCCCCCCTTTTTTCCTCACCCCCTCTCCTCCCTGCTCCCACCCACCTCCTGCACCAGCTACTTGTTTCTAAGTGGTAGAAAGAACCGGAATTATATTAAATGTTTGGTGTTTTAAAACTTAGTTCTAACGCATCTTGAATTCCTGCCACCATCTTGTTTTTCAGCTGTTTGGCGACGTCTGTTTCCACTGCAACCGCGTCATAGAAGGTGACGGTAGGTGACCCGGCTGTGCAGGCTCCGTGTGCACACGGAGCACAGGAACGTGGGATTGCCCGCCCGGGACTGTTGGCTCGGAATGTGATTGTCACTTTGTCTCTCTCCGGCCTGTTTCCCAGCAGTGTGTGGCCGAGAGGTGACAGTGGCCTGAGAGTTGGCTTGGTCACTCAGTTGCGATCATCATGGAGGCCAAGCCCCAGGGCTATTACACCAGGAAGTGGAGAGAGCATTCATGGCAGCCCTGAACCTGTTCTCTCCTTTCCCTCAAGAGAGACCACTGGGCCCCGGCAGAGCAGTGTTCACTAGGACGGTTTGATCCGCCGTGGCAGGAGTTAGGGAGAGTCGCTTGAACCTTGCAGAGGCCGATCTGGGCCATGACCTGCAGGCGTTTCCAGGACAGCCGTCCTAGTCGGTGATTCGCACAGCTGGTGACGACAGGGAGCAGCTGTGTGGTGGCAGTGGCCGGCCCAGTTTGGCAGGTCCTGTGGAGGCCTAAGCTGCCCAGTTTTCAGCTGTCGTTCTCGCCAGAGCCTGACTCGGGAAATACTTACTGAAACGATGCACGTGCAGTTTGCAAAGGGTTAGTTCAGGAAAGCAATCTTAGTGCCACTGAGAACAAATGTCCTCCTGCACGGGGCGGTCACCAGATGAAGACACTGTCACAGGGAGCCCTCCACTGTGACAGAAACGCTGCTCTGGGTGAATACGTTGCTGTCTGCACTTTCCTTTAATCTTCTCTCCCATGGGCCTGTGCACAGTGGCAGCAGGGACAGGAGGGCAGTGGAAGGTGTGCTGGGCGAGCCCGGGCCAGGAAAGCTCGTCCGGGACGTGATGCGTGTTTGTAGACGCTGCATTGCCCGCAGGAGAGCGGACTGGGGTGTGCAGACGTGGTATGTGCTGTGGAGTACATGCCTCATAGGACACTCGAGGGAAAGAGAAAACCAGTTAACTGTAAATGAAGGTAGAGATGCAGTTTCCTGAACTCACGCCTTCAGGGAATGGTTTCCTGATACGTGAGGCCCAGTCAGGCATTTTCAGGAGACACAGGGCAACAATACTTACCACATTTTCAATGCAGGAGGAAGGAAAGTAGATTTCTGTGTATATTTTGAAAAAAAATGAAGCTTGATCCCTGGCCGGTTTGGCTCAGCGGTTAGAACATCGGCCTGTAGACCAAAGAGTCACAGGTTCGATTCCAGTCAAGGGCAGGTACCTCAGGTGGAGGTTTGATCCCCGGCCCTGGTTGGGGTCGTGTGGGAGGCAACCAGTTGATGTGTCCCTCTCACGTCGATGTTTCTCTCTCTCTTTCTCCCTCCCACTCTATCTGAAAATCAGTGGAAAAATATCCTCGGTTGAGGAT